TTTTTGTTCTTCGCTAATGAACTTCCGTTTTAATCCATAATTTGAGGTACACATAATTAAGCTTAAAATTTGAGCACACACAGCCAAACTCGATTTAATCCATAATTAAGTATACAATTTGAGTATTTAGTAACTAATTTAATTACTATAATAAGAATAACTGAAACAATGATACATGTTTGTTGATGTTTTTGCTTTCACAAACATTAATAATTTTACAATGCCCAACTGGTAGTCTGAAGTGAGAAATAAGCACAAAAACGTGTGATGAGAAATGAGGCTTTAAGAACAAAAACGTGTGATGAGAAATGAGGCTTTAAGAATTGAGAAACAATGCCCAACCGGGACAAACTTAAAACAAGGCAAAAACATTTCATGATCCTGTTAAAGAGGAAAAGACGAGAGCTTGAAACCAAACACAACCCTTAATTTCACATCACCAAACATAACAAATTACCACAAAATGAAGTTACACGAAAGCCAGCTCAAAAAATAACAGTAAATCAACACACACAAAGACTTGTCTGCACCTTTGTATGAGAACTGAATGAAGAAGTCAAATACGTGATAAGGCATCTAACATAACAAGGGAGCCACCTCCTTGTGCGGAGTTAGATCCAACCTCCTCGTGATCAAACAAAGCCACCATTCTTATCGCACTCTCGTCCTCCAGACTTTTTTAAGCGTAAGTTGAATCTATCAGTGCCTGAAATGAAATATAACAATTAATTGTAAATAAATCTATATCTGTTTTGGTGGGAAATTGACTAATATTTCGCAAATAGCGAAGGAAACTTCTTATCATGTTTGTACTAATTTGATTACGACATTCGAGGTTCCATTGGGACTACAGTCTATTTCCAAGAAAACATAAACTAAAAAAAAAGTAAATAATGCATTTTTTACTATGCTGCAGATTATGTGACATAATCGACTAAGAATTAGTAGATTGTTTCAACTACTCAAACACGAATACGCACCTTGAAAGACCAAAACGACATACAGAGGTTATCTAATCTTCCAGATAAAAAAAACTCCTTTAAGGCCCAGCTATGACGCTTTTTTGGGTGTCACACGCTTTCAACTCGAAATCACATATTGCACCTGGTTCGCACCCAAGCTGAGTGGCAATCAGCTGAAATTACGAGGAACGAACAATAGAATCAATATATGGAGCACAAAAATTGTAGTGATCTAATATGTAACAACTTTCCAGGACAAAAAAAAAAATGTAATCTCGAAGAGTTAAAAAAAAAAATAAAAGGAGGGGAAACATAAATTTAAAATGGAGGCCAAGAAAAATGAAGAAATATTGAATTTACAAAATAAACTTACCTGCAGAAGAAGGGGATGGTGCTTTTGGTTGTTAGTTGTCTTTCCATCAGCTTTCTTCCCCTGCAGTCGACCCACTTTCAATGGAACAATCCCCGGCAGCTTGTTTATTCAGCTCAGCCTGTACAACAGATGTAAAAAGGATTTTAAAAGTATAAGATTCAAAATACAATCTTTATTCGATAAAAAGTCCGTATGGTTTGGTCCTCTTACGTATAATCTCAAGAAATGGATAAACAGTAGTACTGAATAATGTAGGGATTCCATAAATTAATACGTTTGTATGTGTGTGTGTATATATAAGTAATAATATGTATTTGGCTCAAAAAAAGGAAAAAAAAAAACAAGTACAGAGCTAGCCATTCTTGAATTTACCTTAACTACCTTAACTGATGTAGCCAACACCGGAGCAAGGTGAGTTTGTTTGTTAACCTTAAAACCATCATTTACCTCTCTATCCAATAAATACAAACAATATAACAAAATTACTAAACACAAAAACAGTGAATTTATGCAGATCAAATGAAGCAACATAAGATTTTCTAGAAAAGGGACCTGTCCAAGTGGATCGCCAAAGTCGGGACCCGCATAATAGGCTCCTCAATTCTGACAAGGCGGTGAGAGAATGACTCCAATTCATCTTTCTTCTCTCTAACTATCACTCTTCCAGCAACAGCCAGATCACGATCGAACCACGTGTGCCACAGCCCACCTCCATAAGGTTGCACACCAACTTCAAGATACCCATCTTTTGTAACCTGAAAAAACAAACATCACTATTCAGACCACATTCTTTCTGACAAAAGTATTAATGTTAACCATGTTAAAGGTAGATTAATCACCTTTGTAATGGGCTTCAGCTTTAAACAGGGACTGTCGGTATGCGCGCCAATGATGTAAACCCCATTCCCAGCAGTGTATCTATTTTGAACAATCAATCACATTATAAGCTCGAATCATGTCAAGAAATTCTTGCAATGCGTAAACTGGCCATTTCATATAATTATATTAAAATTTTTAACAAGCTTCGAAATTCTCGCACTTTCGTTTCAGCAATACTACATACTGAAAAATATATGTTTCGCACAAAGATTCAAACTTTAATTCCTTAGAATTTTAACATTTCGCTTATCATTTCAATTGCTAATATCAAGGTGATTGATTCGACAAATGCAGAATCGAACTGTACCAGAAAAGAACATAACAAACATGGAACTACAAAACCACATACATACTTTTTACCAATAGCAAAAGCAACAATTGATGAGTGATTCCTGGTGAAGAAATACATCTTGCCATGCTCACTATCTTCACCTACAAACAAGAACTACACCAACAAAATTTCTAATAAACTACACAAAAGTATCCACATGATATCACAATCATTCTAACTACAAGCATTCAATAACCACAATAAATTAAATTTCTCTTTTTTTAGTTGAATTCATAAAAGTCGAAATCTTAACCTACCAGCCATTCCTTGTGCCACCCGTCCTGTTTCAGCCTCTTGACGGCCACAACCATACCCGAGCGGGGCCGTGATGCCACCAGTGTGCTCCGTGATGCCGCCAGTGTGCTCTCGTCAACCCAACCTTTGTAAACCGAGCCGAAGCCTCCCTCTCCTAAGACGCTGTCCGGGAAGTTTTTGGTGTCTGCCCTATGATCTCTAAAGTTGAAGCTTTTAAAGTTTTTGGTGGCTGCTGGCTGTCATCGACTCGGAGGGGAACGACAAGAGGGTGGAATTTGGATCTAAGGCGAGCGACCATGAAGACTCGGCTTGGAGTCCAGCATGATGGCTTTGTTTGCAATGAT